CCGAGTATCGGATACCAAAATAATACTCAAGCTAGGGTGATCTGGTAGGGGTGATCCGGCTCAGATCACCCCTGGTAGAACAAAGGAGCTGGGATGTAATTTAAAATACCACCGTTACAGAGGTGGGCTTCAAATGAGAACTGTTACCCAAGGCTAACAATTCTTGCAAAGCGTATATTAGCCATTCCCGCAACATCGGTACCGTCCGAAAGAATTTTTTCATCAGCAGGATTGTTAGTAACAAAATTACGAAACCGACTCTCACCAGAAATAGTGGACAAAATAATATTTCTGAAAAAGAACAAATGCATACCCCGTAGTGACCCTCAATGATTGTTAAACGCATCAGCGACTTCTAATCGTCTCACCTTTGTAAATATGTTTTCTTTACGATTGAGGAATGTAACTGTTGTGTGATCATGTGAGACTTTGTAATAATTGATGTCCAATTCGTATTTATTAAATTGTTTATTAGATAATTGTTTACTTAATTACTTCATTTAATAAATGATCTATCAATTCTAGTCTCACATAACTAGGGGGATTAAAAGTAAATTAGACAACGACTGACAAATCGTAAAATGTGTAACTTATGTAATTTTACACATCTGTATTTTACCGAGCGAGTACTCGAGTATCGCTCTGTAAAACCAACGAGTACTCGAGTATTTATTTCTAACCGAGTTGACATCCATAGTATATAGTTTTATCATGTCAAGTTACAGATCAAGTTCGAATTTTGTTCCGGTCTGATGATTTTGTGCAGAGTTATGGTCCTTGGACTTAGAAAATTCACTCAAATAATCAATTTTCCACATTTTTTTTTCGTCATGCTTGAAGATATTGACTTGATATTTGGTATAAAGTTTACACCATGACAAGTTATAGATCAAGTTAGCATTTTGTTCCAATACAATGAATTTTTAACCGGTAGGGGATTCTGTATTGACAGGCAATACTCACAGAATGCTTGTTATTTTATATTCTTGTGAAATCATGTTCACAGTTCAAGTTTCAAGTTTACAGTTTTTGAAACAGAAGAAGTTACTACATAAAGATTCATCGAAAATTGTTATCCTTGTATTTCCACATATACAACACTGGGACAATAAACAGTGACATTAAAATTAAACTAAAATCTTTGTCTTCCTAAATTCACTTGTGAAATAAAATTATTGTCATTTCCATATTCTTACAATAACGTTTTTGTTCTATTGCCCAAAGATGAAGAATTTAGCAATATTGGTGTAACTTCTCTTAACATTTCAATTTTAGGAGGTGCACTGATGTTTTTCAACTTTGTAATTAAAACATTTGTTAATCTATTGATTTTGATATGGATTGACAGAGGAATCTTCGAAGGAAGGTGAAGTATATTTTGATATTATGTTTTCAAAAAAAAAGGTATTGAAAATGCACTTTTTCAATTAAGAAAAAATATTACTTGACTACTTTTTTATCTTATTAGGTGTTCATTCTTCACTGGAAAAAAACAACATTGTCTGTTTTCAAATAAACATATACAAATACAGTATACATCTGTGTACTAATAAAAAGCAATATAATGGTGACAAATAAATATTATTGTAGAAAATGCTCAGGTAAGAGTTATGCAGTTCTGTTTATTATTTCAAGCAAATCACTGATAATAACAGCTTAAATTAACCTTAATTATTGACTATAATTTTACGATAAAATATACCCTGCTTGCGTTTTTCTAATACAGATTTATTTTTCTTTGAAATAAATACACCTTATTAATCCTTTATCATTGATCTTTGACAAATAATTTACAGAACAATTCTAAGGAGTGTACAATAAATATTTATAGATAAATACTTTAATGTACTATGTCTATGTATCACCCATCTAACATACTATTGTGGTCAAGAATTGCGTATTGATTTGAGTATTAAGTCTAAGTCATGTATAGTATAATTTATGAAGTATATATGTCTTTGATTGTGTTGTGTAATAAAGTATCTGTTAAATTTTGCAAAACAAGAGTTAGTTGATGTGGTCAATCAGTACTACTGGCATTCCAGTTAAAGCTCACAACTTTTGGTGTAATTGTTTATTAATAAGGACAGTTGTCAATCATAGTAGTATTTTACTCTCACTTGATACAGAAGACCAAACTAGCTAGCAAATAGACAAACTAATGACATACATGCTTAAATAAACTGCTCTAAAGAAATAACCAGTTTATTTTACACTTCATATGTGCATATTTAGAGACAAGAGAAGTATTTGGAACTTTATTTCAGTGTGTATGGATTTAGTGGCTAATCCTACTACATCTTGGTTTGTAAGGCAGATGCCTTTGGATATTTTTAGAATCATAGTATTTGAAAAAGTGTAGGAATCCACTTAGATATCAATATGCACCTTGTACCAAATTATATTCAATTACTTACACAAGAGCAAGATACTAATAAACACTTTCATAGTTCTTATAAACTTCTTAAATTTGATATCTTACCTTTCAACATTAATTTATAAATAGTAATATCTTATAAATTGGATTGAAAAAGGACCCTTTATACAAATGTATTTACTTCAAATTAAGTAGCTGTTCGACCTCTCTTTTTTTTTAATTTATGAGCAAATTGCATGTCAAAAGTTTGTAATAGATAATTAAAATCGTGTTTTGTAATTTTGGTATGTCATTAAAATATTATTGGTTTCATAATATGCAATCAGTTAAAGAATTATGCATCATCTTAAAACCCGAGTGAACACATTGACCCTGATTGGCTGGACAAAAACATTAATTATCAAAGTTTTATAGCAATTGGCTCTTCAAATGATTTTTGCTGAATTTTGTATCGAATTTTCTATATCTACAAATGTTGGCAACAATGTTCGAAACGTTCAATGGAAATAATTTTGGATGAATTTAAAAAAACATTTTATTAATTTCAAGTTCATAAATTATGTAGTGAATATCAAACTAAGGTTGCAACTTTATCCGGCAGAGTAGACATCAGATAGGTTTGGTTGTTTTGTTTATGCCCTATTGGTTTTTATGATTTGATTTGTATGTTGGCTTTCCAAAGTTTTAGTCTTCTGCATATCGCATTCAAGATTATTCAACAAGCATGTGTCTTATGAAGGGAAATCAGTATCATCTGTTTGGCTTTATTTATTCTTAGATCACTTCTGATAAATCACTGTGTTCAAGGCCAAAGAATAATATTACTCTGTCATATAAAATGAGGCACTGGCCTCCTGTGATCTTTTTTTGTTCATGACTGATTAATAACAGATATAAATGTCACAATATTCCAATAAATCATTTATTTAACATCATCCAGTGCACAGTTCAAAAACACATTTCAAAAATGTTGTATATTAATTGAGTCAGACTACTGAAACAGAAATAACAAATGCACTGACAGTAGTTGATAAAATTGCAGTTTATGATCATCCCTGGCGAAAATAAAATACAAATAACAAATCGATTGCTGAGATAAATGGAGAGGACTGTCATATTCTAGATTTTGAACAGGTGCTTATAACACAATAGTTTTGTTCATTTCTACCTCGAGATCAATCTATTTATTATTTTTTCCTCTACTTAATTATACAAACATTTTATGGAACTTTGTGCTTATTTTTATTGTACTTTATCTTCCTGGCTGACTAAAAGGTTTTCATAAAACAAAAACATTTACACCTAAAGTTTCAATAATATTTGAAATTCTTAAATCAGATGAAAGCTTTACAGCATTTTTTTAGATTCCATACATAAAATGCATGATTCTGATGCATAAAATTACTTTTATAGAAGTTGGAAAGTTGAATGTAGTTAAGCACATGATGTCCTTCAAGCATTTTATACTGCATGATTTGTTCAAGAATATTGTTTAGCTAATAAATAAAAACAATGTACAGTGTACAAACAAACATTTTGGCAGTGTAAAAATATAACACATGTCATCCTTACACTATCAATACAACATGTACATGTATATATAAAAAAAAGTAATAGCATCATAAACAAATAATATTATGCAACAAAGTATTTGTTTTTAAACATGGTAGAAATTTTAAATACATTAAATGTTACATGTAAATCATATTTTAAGTTTCTTTTGAACTCTCAATATTTCTTTTTCTACTTGATCTATAAAGGTCAAATTCCAGTAAATTACTTTTTAAAATTTTTCATTCTTCTTAAATTTTTTCCTTCATAATATATTATGTGTAAATCATTTGCATTTAAATAATGTATAACAACCATGCAATCACTATATTGAATTTTGATGTATAAAAATATTTTTTATTTCAATTTTCAGTAAAAGTCCAGCATGTCCAAGTTGTATGCAAAATCTTTGACATCAACCATTCCTTTACCTAAATGTTAAATGTGCTTAACATATTGTTTCTGTATCACTTACCTTTTTGCTTTAAGTTTCAAAGTTTCCAAAAAAAGAGAAGTCTCAAATGACACCAATCTTATAATAAATTAAATACAAAAAATACTTTTGTGAAAAGGGTAGCAATACAAAAATTAACCAAGCAGCCAATAAAAACTCCTTCAAACACTCATACCCATCTCAAACCTACAAATATCTTATCAGTAAATATATTATACCAACCCCAAATCTGCAAATATATTCTTCCCACCCATAATCTACCAATATCTTTTATTATACTTCAACACCACATTTTTATTGGTTAATACGAGGGAGACAATATACTCTATTCTATGGTAAATACTCTATTACCCTTCACGGAGACGCTTGATCAAGTGTGCGCTTTATTAAATACGACTCTATCCTATGGTAAATACTCTATTACCCTTCAAGGAGAAGCTTGATCAAGAGTGCGCTTTTTTAAATACGGATGGTTGTTATTTACAAGACGTCATAGTTTATTACTTTGAATTTGAAATTTAATCGACAGTAATAACAGAACATTCAGTATAATAAATTAAATAACACATATCTGAGAGGGTGATAGCGTAGATTGCTACCCCTCGAAAAGACATTGTCAACCTTGGCTTAGCAATCTGCTCTATCACCCTCTCAGCTATGTGTTATTTATATACTACGAACCCCAAAGCTGCAAATATCTTCTACCCACCCAAAATCTGCCAATATCTTCTACCAAACCCAAATCTACATTATTATCATAATATTCTCAACCAAGTTTAGATTAAGGCCAAATAAAAAGATTGTGATCTTTGGTTTTCTAGCTACTGATTTAATAATAAGCTGAAAAGGCAAAACTGCACATAATCCTATTTGTTGTGCATGAAAACCATAACAACCTGAATGTAACTTACGGGTTTTGTCACTTACAAAGCATCTTTTAATGATTGAGGCTAAATTTGTTTGATTTTCATGTTTTCATAGAAGTAAATTTCATTAGGTCAAAAATTAATTACATGTAAATACAAAAACATTAACAAAAATAAGTATCAATATAACATGAAATGATTTCCATAATGCACACAAATACATATCATTACACAAAACTAATCATGTAGGACATATAGCTTACTGAATTATGTAACAGTACAATAGTTATAACTAAGGGCATCTGTTCATTTTCTGTAAATAATTTGAAATATGGTGAAACATTGTAATATCAACAAGAGCTAAATATCTATTAAATTAGCATTTGTCCCTCTGATAACTTGTAACTTTAAATGTGATGGAATTAATGATTAAGATATTATCTAAAATTGATTCACTTTGCAAAATTTTTATTTTTAATAGATGCTCCACATAACAAGTGTCTCCTTTTCTGAAAAGATGAAAATGTATGCCTTAAAATTCATCTACACACTGAAAACATCTAACAAACGATAGTTAAAATATTGACTTGTACTTCAAACATTGATCAAAGATTTTCATATTCTTGTTCTTCCAAACATTAACATATCATAACATAGACATGGAACAAAAATATTTTAAAATGGTCTGAAGGCAGGAATTCAACTAAGCTAACTACATGGTTAGATGTAATAATAAAAGTTTGACCTTGCTTTCAACTCAGGTCTTAGAATATTAGAAAAGCAATAAATTAACTTCTCTGAGAATTTGTGAATGGAATGTAAAAGGTATATTGCAAATCTAGTTATAATGGAGTAATAATACTTAGAAAGTTTACTTTAATTTTAAAAATTTGTATTAAATCCAAAATCAGATCAGTGAATTTATGCGCAGATATTACTAAAAAAGAAATTATTGTCTTTTTACTAATTATATCCATAGATTTCACAAAATACTAAAGTATTTTAATCAAAAGTTAATTTCTGAAAACTAGAGTAGCGATTGTTTTCTGCCTAGAGGTCTACATCATTTACAATACTTTTCTACACTCATTGCAGAACATTTTATTTACAATATTTTTCCTCATTCCATTCTGCATTTTGATTTTTGAATTAGTAACACATGGCAGGTTTATCATTTGCAAATAAATGTATCCTTTAGTCACAATATATTTCTGGTTAAAAATTTTCTGTTTAACAAATGACTCTGATTGCAAGCATCTTTCTGTATTAACCTATATCAATACATATACTCCTCAGTAGATCAAAATTAGTTAAACATATACATTTCTGTGAATGAAATATTAAGAGTAAATTACATGTAAATACATCAACCAGTAACAATAAATGTCATTAAATTTGGCAGAAAAAATCGAGATTTTGACAATTTTATTCATTTATAAGTGAATAATTTATTAGAAAAAAAGAATTTTGTATCATCTAATTTTACATAACAAAGTAGATAAACTTTCAGTGATGAAATATAAAATAGAAAGGTAAATTTTCTATACTTGATGACCTACAATGCATTAACACATTAAAACTTGTTTGAACTTTTGTACACAACCAGTATCATCCTACATAAAAGTACATTATCATATAAGTATGATATTTGTCAGTACATGGTGACAAACATAGTAATGTACTGGATATAAACACACAAATAAACATTTAAAATTCACATATATACATGTTCATTTTCAAAATTAACAACTTTTTTTATGTTACATGCAATCTCACAATTAAAATGAACAAAACAGGTAAACAAAACAATTTCTGTACACCTGAATTTCATAAATATTTTATCTGTACATACTTCTGTATTGAATACATAATGAGTGCAGCAATATTTTAACAAATCCCTGAATTTGCCAAAATCTACATATAGTATACTATGAAAGGCCTCATTTCACACAAAAATAATATACATGTTTCATGGTTATTAGCTTTTTCCTTTCTAAAAAATAATTCTGCATTGTGGGGTGAGGGGTAATAGTTCATTACCTCTTTTTGATGTGAAACATTTACAAGATATATTTATATATCTACAATATCCCTGTAGAATTTGACTGTTAACAAGATAAATTCCTTTATCGCATTTGTTTATTTTCCTCTGTGTACATCTGTTACATTTCTTATTGCATCACCCAGTACTGCTATTAACAATATCAATGCTTTTTACATGTTGTCAAAAAATATAATTTTAATGACATTACATTCAAAAACCTAATTTTTTCTGCTATAAGATGCAAAAATTAAACAACATAATGACATTTTATAGTTATTGACTGGATTCAAGGTGAACAGCTATGTTATTTGACCCAAAGCAAAGAACCACAGCCAGAACCAGGGGGTAATACAAAACTGTTGTCTTATAACTGTATAGTAATACCTTTTATTTCAAGAAAGAAACATGGTATAATCAGTAAAACAAACACAAACAGGCAATCAGAAGATCACAAGAGTTCAATTTTGAAATAGCCAAACAAATGATCAACAGATTACTGCCACTACAACAGTCCCAAACTCTGCAACAGATAGTTGGAACAGATGATTCATGACTTTAAAACAGCTATAATTCCCACTATTTAACATGATACAGTTAAATCATACCTGCCAACTTTTCAAAACCTCCATGGGGGATTTTAAGCACAAAAAGACCTGGACTAGTGCATGTTTTATACATGCCTAAAGCATATTTAATAAAATGTACTATGATTTTTGAGGAGTATATATTATTCAAATTCCATTAAACTCATCTGAATAAATATTTTGAGGCATAAAGTTCATATAATAGAGGAATTAAATAGTCAGGCCAACCCCCCAGGGGATATCCCCATAAATCGGGATAGTTGGCAGGTCTGTTAAATAAGAAATTATTATGAAGGTATAACAATATAACCTTTAACCAAATATATGACTTCATATTATATTGTGTTTGGAGACAGAAAATCTACAAACTAAAATATTCATCTACATATGTATTGCATCGACATTTTATGTTATTCATAGTGACTAGTGAGAAATGACAAGATCTGATTATCACTTAAACCACATGATATTCAACTACAGCCATTTAAAGGTAGCACAATATGAAGATATTTTTACCACAAATCAGACAACTTTAAACTAGAGTAGTTACTTGCATACAGCTCCAAAATGTTTGACAAACTAAGAGAAATTATTCCAATAGTTTTATAACCTTATAATAACCCTTACTACTAGCTTATCATTTCATTTGAAAAGAATTTCAGGTAGGATTCATAACTAAAGGGATTTCTTTTTTAAGTTAGGATTCAAATTTATCCAGATTTCTTTGAAGGTCCAATACTTAATTTTCCATAAGTTATCTTTTTTTTCATATTTCAAAGTTCATTAGTTGCATCAGCAGAATTTTTAAACATTCTTTTAATATCATAAACAAATATCGATAGGATAAAATCAAGTCATACTTAAGAGTTTGCAAATGTATTGGATTAGATCTTGAGATTTTTACATATTTACAATTAAGTATGTCAAATCAAACAAAACTGACCTTAACTATGACATAGCATTATATGTTAAATATTTCTTCACAAGTTCTTTAATCATCATCAATACCATAAAAATGTGTATGCGTCATGGCATTGTCATGATTGTCTTTATTTTTTCAAAAGATCTGGTCATGTAGTATTTAAGATATAATCTGGAAAACTTAAAAGTCTTGTTGGTAGACATACAGGTGGATGCACATGAAAATCGCTGTACACTCACAATGTATTAAGTTAAATATTCTGTTTATCTTATTAACAATTTTTATAACAAAAAATCTACATTTGTACATTTGCAACCAGTTCTACACATATTTATGTTTTACAATCAATCTATATTCTTCTATTGTGTACATTTTGAGAGGAATGAGCTTGATCTGATTGACTATCAGTCATTCTGCCACCATGTAGATGCTGAGCCCCACTTAAGTCAAACTCTTCTTGATGAATAGCTTCCTGAAGTGCCATAGGTGTTAACCATTCTTTCGGTAAGGCTCGTTCTAGGAATGGTATACATGTACTTATATGAGCAAGTCTGTTAACCCAGCTTGGAAGTTCCTTCCCACATAAAACCTTAAATACCAGTAATAATTTCACATAATAAAATATAATCAACGTGCTTGTGAGCACTGAAAGGTAAAGATTGCTTTCAATTCATTTTGCAATTTTGTGAATTTTTCAATAAAACATTGAATTGTATTTTGCTAAGCAAATTAAAAATTTGAGTTGGAGTTATCTTCCTTTGTTCATGATTATATACTTGTAGTTGAACCTATTTATATAACAGATTCATACACCATGCATTACTTATGTAATTCTTAATAAAAAAATGTTTTTTTGACAAGTATGGTAATTCAGATACACATCATTTTGTAACTTAAATATCTAAGTATAACATATATCATCAATAAATTGCATGACATTGACTGGATAGGATCTAAATATTAATCACTTCACTCTATTATTTTGTTTGAACTATCAAAGGTAGTGATCAACCTTGGAAGATGTAGATATCAAGTCAGTACCATAGGGCTTTGATTGCATTTCATGCAATCTTTACCCAAAAAAAAACAGCTCAATGTTAAATTGAATCTTGATTTGATTTTTTTTAAAACTAAATGTGTGTATTTTTTCTTTTGCAACACCTGGTTGACCTTAATCTTGACTCTGACCTTGATATTACATAAGGTTCATCCTTTCCTCATCGGGAACATTGTACCATGCATGGTGAAAATCAAATATGTGGTTTCTTAGTTTTGAAATCAGGTGTTGCGGATACATATGCACAAACAGGATACTATATATATCCATTCTGTAATTTTGTTGCAAGTGGATAAGTTTAAATTATTCAAGTTATTTCTGTAGATATGTTGCTTTACGTTAATTGTTCTTCTGTTTATGAAATTGTTGTTCATTTTTGTTCAAGGTATTTTTCTCAAAGGCTATACACATATATGTAAAAATATTCAATGGCCCTTTATATGCCATTAGTCGTAAAGTCAATATAAGAATTTGTGAATAACACACATTTAATCAGCAGTAAATCTTAAGAACCTTGAGGAAGTATATGTAAGAAAGAGGCATCAAATAAAGTATGAAGTGTATATTTCAAATGTAATATATTGACACCTAACTATAATTTACTGTATGACTTACTTTTGTGATTTCTGTCGTGAAGTGATTGCAATTTTTATTTAGTAAATGATATTGGTCCCCTCTAAAATCTTTTCCTAGTTGATCTACAATCTTCTTGACATCGTCTGGAGTAAAATCTGTGCTACCCAGTTTTATTGTTTGTCTACAATAATACAATTTCTTAAGACATAACAGTTAATTCGATATGGTTAAATGATCTGAAAAACACTTATAAATCCTAAATATTCCACAAAACAAATATTTTTAAACCTTTCATTTAGTACTTAGATGTATGATTAAAGGGAGAGAATTCTACTCATTTTGAAGTCTTAAGGCTTCTGTACCACAGTCAAATTCAATAAATGTTTAAGACATTCTATATATTATTTTGATATAGTTTAGTACTTACTTAAATTTAAATTGGTCACCAAGAGATTCTGAGTCTTTTGGTATAATATCAAATACACCAGTAAAAGGAAATGGATGCCCACCATATGCATATTCTGAAATAAAAAAACACATCATAAATATCAAATATATACTTACTACTGTATCATTATTCAGACATCAATTATTAAAGATGTCAGTCTCTCAAATATCACTAATGCTTTCTGTAATTATATGTTTGGTGTTTCATGTAGTCTTGTTTCATAAGTATTTCCTCAAATGCTTATCCTATCATTTTTTGTTCTTTTGATTTAATCAACAAACTGTGTACTACAAATCAGATAACATTTTTTTGTGTAACATTTTAAAAAAAAAAAACAATAAAGAAAAGGAGCAATGACAAATCTCCTAGTTAATTTTACTCATATCAAATTTGATTGTCTTTGAATCTCAATATTAATACTAATTAATATTAATAAATATGGGTCACTGACAAAATTCTTAAACTTGATCATGAGGCATTAATGCATGTGTTATGTATGTTAAGATGACCCAATATTTACATGGACCACCTTTACTATTCAATATGTGTGCACTGACAAAACATCATTTTTCAATGAATTGTCATATCTAAACATTGACACATTCAAGTATGACAAAGAAATGAAGAATAAACATATAAACAAATAAATGTTTGCAACACTATAGTCAAATCCCACCTGTATTGACAAGGAGATAATTATATTACTGGCCAATGTTTGTAATGACATGAACCATATTGCTGTGTAGCAATTAAATAGTTTTCATATAGTACAGACATTGTGTTAAGTCAATTATCACTATAAATCAATCTGATTAAAATACAGACTATAAATTGTAAGATGACACTGATCAAAGTTTTCTAACTTTCACAGCTTTGAGTATTTCATTTAATTTTCACTATCCACATGATCAAAAGTCAAGATTACCTGGTTTGTATTAAATAAGAATAATCTTGCAAAATTGTACATCTTCCTAAATATGAAATGTTTCACCATTTTCTTGATTTTTTGTTGATGTTGCTTTTTTTGTTTTTTTTAGTATCTATTTATCTCACAAATAAAATGCTTCGCTGAGCGCAGCCTGATATGACCGCAGAGGTCGAACCCTTAACAGTTTGGGCAAATTTGGACACAATATTCAAGCTTGATACTGTCTGAATTTGGATTGTGATCAAATTTTTGACATAATATAGGTTTCTGACACAAAATAAATCAGGTCAAAGATCTTACAAATCTATTGCGCAATACTGTGCAATTGAAGATTTCTTCTTGAAACTTATAACAAATTCGAAATTTGATAAAAATTTGAAAAAAAATATGAATCCCTTAAAAAAATTGGAAAAAAAATCCCCCCCCCCCCCCCCCAACTTTTTGAAACTCCCCTGAGAGCAATAACCCCAAAACTCAATCCTAGCCTTTCCTTTATAGGATGGAACATTGTAGTAAAATTTCAGAGAGATCCATACACTAAAACACAAGTTATTGTCTGGAAACTAGAAAAATGCTTGTTTTTGGCCCTTTTTTGGCCCCTAATTCCTACATGTTTGGGGCAATTAACCCCAAACTCAATCCCAACCTTCCCTTTGTTATATGGAACCTTGTGGTAAAATGTCAGAGAGATCCATACACTTACACCAAAGTTATTGTCTGGAAACTAGAAAAATGCTTGTTTTTGGCCCCTTTTTGGCCCTCAATTCCTAAACTGTTGGCCCCATAACCCCTAAAATGAATTCACACCTTCCACTTGTGGTATTAAACATTGTGATACAATTTCAGAGCAATCGAAATACTTTTACACAAGTTATTATCCTGAAACTAGAAAAATGCTTGTTTTGGGCCCCTTTTGGGCTCCTAATTCCAAAACGGTTGTGACCATCATCCCCAAAATCAATCCCAACCTTCCTTTTGTGGTATTGAACCTTCTTAAAAAATTTTATAGAGATCCATTGACTTAAACTAAAGTTATTGTCCAGAAACCAATGTGTCTTCGGACCACAAGTGATTAGTTCCTCACAAATATCTCTCTTGCTCTTTGTATGTGTAACCATTACAATAGATAAAGGTTCCTATCAATGTATAAAGTGTTTTCGTATACTCACAAAGAGCAATTCCGTAGACTTTTTGGTCAATGATAAGATATTGTCTTAAGTGTTTGTTATTAATTTACAAAAATAACATAGACTTTCCTGTTAATAAATGATGCATCTTCTTACTGTTAATACATACCAATTCCATAGATTTCAACCCCGGAATGGAAGACACCAATTCCTATGGAAGAAGTGTATTCATTTATCCAGTACTAAAAAAGAACATTACAATTTAACATAAGATCAACACTTCTTCTAATAAAAATGTATATATGTGCCTATTTCCAATGATAAACCCATTATTTCAGAGTTCATAGTTTTTGTCAACACTCTCTTAAATTGGTGAGAACAAGCCTTGCTCAGAGATTAAATGTGTGTTGAATCTCCCTGCATTTTCAGTTTTTAAAATTTACTTTTTCAACAAATCTATGCCCAAATGTCATTTCAAAAATATATTTATATCAAAAATTAATTGGAATTAAATTATGTTTATTACCCATCAATGTCATGCTTGTATTAATCTTTCTATAATCCCCTCATCTTGTCAAAAGATAACAATTTAAGTGTACAGTCATGTATTTTCCTTGTGTATGACCAGATAAGTTTTTATCAGGTAGGTTTGTTTTTTTGGAAAATTTAGGTTTTAAATTAATCTTAGAAAGTGTTGAATGATTTCAATCAAACTTTCCTTAATGTTTCTGCATGGCATTCCTTTGAACCTGAACCAAATTTTCAATATTCAATCATTCCACCTATTTTCTTTGACTGTGAAAGAAACAGGTAAAGTACTCATGACATGATGACCAGTCTTTTGAATTTTTTTTTTTTTCAAATATCTTAACGCAAAATGATAAAGAATTAAGAAGATTAAAAAAATAGAAAAACACCACTATCTGCAATTTCCATATTCAACAGAATGGCTGAGGTATAATTAGAGCAATTACTTACTCCTTGAAATGCAAAAATAGAAGAAATGCTCAACATGCTCAATCATTTCAATAGATTTACTTATGGTTCAGAGATCCAGTCTGATTTTTAAGGTGGTACAATGTACATTTACATGTAGTTCACAAGGTAACAATCTGCAGAAAGTCAGTCATCCAACATTGCCCTTACTAGACACATTTTCTGACTCCCAGATGCACAGTCTGTACTTACACCTAAATGCTGCATGCTTAGCAGAAAAAAGGCAAATACCAGTTTGCAAGTTTATGGTTTGACTCGTTCAGGGATAAAAACCACACCCTACAGCACTCGAGGTAAGCACACTTCAAGACCATTAAGGCAGAACTTTGTTTTCTAAATTTCACTTCATATTTTGAAAACAAGCACACCATGATAATGTATTAATACTATTTCAATAAAAAATATTTGTTACCTAAAAAATGTTAATCAATAAAATTATGTGTTGTAAGAATAGGTTCTGTGACTTATTTTATTACTTGAAAAGAATAAACATTGTCTTCACAAGTCTCACTTTGTAAATAAAGAAATTATGAATAATCATACCATATCATAAACATTAACAAGAACAGCCTCCTGAGCCATTGCAGTATTTTGAGGAGATAGCGAACAGGTAAAATTTTGTTCAGGACTTCATAACAATCTAATTAACACGACTGTCAATAACAAGTGTTATTGTCTTCATGGTCGATGACTCATCAATGGTTTCTTTTGTAAATAAATAATATCATTGACAGTGTATTCAAATATAAACATTTACAGCAAATATTTCAAGAAACGATAAAGGCACGCGTGTCCACAATATATAAATAAAAAGAGTCGCAAGAGGAACTAAACGTATCTATATGACAGCTGTCGTTTGCGGATACGGGTGGAATCTAAAAGAAACGTAAACAATTTTCCAAACGTTACTTTGTCAAAAATATATTTATATTTTCCTAGTTCTAATAGCTAATATTTTCTCTACGTCGTTACGGGGAGCATTTGAATTCCATTTCGTATTCCCAGCATGAAAGCAATATATTTTTTTCTCAAGTTTCCGTCAATGTTTCTTTTTTCCAATTTATTGTCGTTCGGAATTCCAATATGGAGCAACTTGCTTTACAATTGCAAAATATTCCCTAAAAACGGTGAATTTACTTGTAATAGAGAATATCATAGATGGCTTTACATTTCAATATCACATCCGTATCAGCCCCAAAATCCCAAGAGCTCTGATTCTGTATCTATTTTCTCACATCTGCCAATCTCCACAGTCGGAATAAAAAGCAACTCTCCACCAGTACAATAAAACTATCCTACACGTAAGAAAAAATCGCTAAATATTTACAGTTCTATCACCAGTCATCCACCAAGAAGACAAATTGTCAAGGTTTATTTAAATTAAAATGTTTTGTTTATCTGCTATAAAATTTAATGTCTACCAAGCAGAATGTCTCTGTTATCTACTCTTAAAAAATCAGAATCACAGGGATTTTGAAATAGTTAAGATAATTTATTCTGTTGTTCGACCTGCTAGTCAAATGCGTTTTGTTAAAATATACTTTTTCACTATTTTGGTCTTTTGAAAAATGTTGTTTGTACTGTATTTAGACCCCTCTACCAAGAAAATGTGTTTTGCATGCACAAGTATAAAAATTGTGGTTTTTATCCAACGCAATCATAGGTTTGAACGTTGTTTTCAATTTAGACTTGTTAAGCCGATAATTTATTATATTATTAATTCGTATATTTTAACTAATTTGATTTGTTCAGGAATAGTCACATGTTAAAATATATTTTCGAAGGTAGACAGAAAACGGCTGATAGCAAAAAGCATATTGCATAGCAAAAAGCATATTGCACGGTTATTTTTAGAATATCTAAAAACCGATATACTTTGTGACGTCATGTAATGAATTTCATGATATTGTTAAAAGTTTTATTAAAAAATATCTTTGATCGATTGTTTGAAGAAAAAAAAATCTTCAAATAAATAAGATGTTAAAAAACAAACATAAAAAATAAATGAAATAACAACTAATATGTTGTTATTGTCTAGGAGACAATATGATATCTATAAATTTCCAACAAAATCAAACGACGATTTTCATACAAATATGGTCGGAAATTAATAATATAACAATTATAGCCTATGTATGAGGTCAATACAGGATATATCGACCCAAAGAAGTATATCGACCTCGGACTTCGTCCTCAGTCAATATACTTCTTTCAGGTCAATATATCCTTGTATCGACCTCATACCAAGGCTATAATTGTATAATATATACTTAAAAAATGGAAACTGGACAGTACCAAGATGCGATCGGTCCATTTCAAGGAATGTTATTTCCTAGGCTTCTTTGTTATATGTATCAGCTGATATCGTCTCGCATGCAGCTTATAGCACAAGCTTCTACATAGCGGTTCTAATTTAGTATCAATATGTCTGATATGAGAGCTTCGGAATTCAGCTGTGTGCAGTACGAATACGGATTGACAAGAATTATTGCAATTTTTTGTCAAATGCGGCGTCTAGCTTATGCCAAGCAAACAGCATACTACAAATGCTTATTATTTCTAAAATGAGTGGTTTTCGTATGCACTCTAGTTCCTCACATATCAGCAGGAAGTGATTCATGGTTTCCTCATTCTTCCTACACATCAAGCAGGTATCATCTGGTGTAGTTTTGTTAAAAACAGCTCTTTTCGCCTGTAATATGTACGTTCCGGTTAAAATTTTTAGTCGGACTGGTATTCTAGAGATGTCTCTTATATTGGCTGACAAGGTTCTTGCAATTGGCCATGATGACATTTGCCTACAGTATATATTCTAGCAAGGTATTTTACAGATGTGAACATTGGAATTTCTTACTTAATCCGACTAGACCAATAATTACTGACTTTCTGTTTCACTAAATTTTTCCATTGCGTTTTGGACAAAGTTGTATCGAATAAATACATGTATGGATCACCAATTTCATATTACATACTTCCAAATAAGATAAGTGCTTTTTTGTGTATGACTGATTCAGCGGGTAGTAGTCCAGATATTACGTAAATTACGTAGATTGACAAAAACACATTGTCCAATCAGCCTACTGAGAAATGTACCGGAATTAACGTTATGCGCCTCTGGATGAATACATTAAAACCAGTTTTAGTTGATTTCGATTTATTCAACATAGTTTACCATTAAAAATTACGTAGAATTTGTTTGTTTTAAAGGGGCATTAGCTGGCTAATTCATTTTCATCGATTTGACCCAAATTCTTATATCTTATATACAACATACTAAAACGTATATGTAAATTACAAAAAGAAACAATTAACATAACGTACGCCGACGGTGATGTTACCCAAATTGCACCTATTTTTGACAGTTTTTTCCCCCATGTTGATTTATGGTCCAGACAAAAGTTTCCATTCTGTGTTTATTTTGTAGATGTACTTGCATTTCCCACTTGTAATATTATAAAGTAAGATCTTTGACAACCTTCAGCGGAGTACATGTAATATAAGGACTGGAGATAAACCACTTGTAGTCGATCGATATAATATCGATACTTTTTGTTGTAATTAAATTTTGTAAGCACCACATCCCTAATTTGTGCATCAATATGAGGTTTTTATCTTTTTTTTTTCTCTGCATTATGCATAATAAAGATGGCAGTGGATATTTTGCCCGCTCTGATTAAAATATATTTATCAAATTTAAGCCGACAAAATAGGATATTTCTCAGTATAGCAATGACAATGTAGTGAATTTGTTATTTTGCCGGTTCTTTGTAAAGAGAGAATTTTAATATTTACTTTTGAAAAGTACTACGAAAATGTGCATTGTCAACATAAAGAATCAAATTATTACTTATATAGTTAAATAAGATAACAGTAACAGTATTTGAGATACACATAATCGTTTAAAAACATTTATCAGCCAAAGTGAAAATAAGAATTTGTAAAAAGAAATAAAGATAAAAATATTGAGCATCCATTTGTAGCATTTTGTATGTGAATTTTCTTTAATATTTCAACTAATTTACGCCTTGTTTGTCATGGCGTTGTCAGTTTGCATAAGTTTCTTTGACTTATGAGTTTTGAATGTCCCCTTTGGTATCTCCAGTCAGTCTTTTTTAAAGAAAGACACAACGGACTTCTATACCATCAAAAATACGAATATGAAAGATGAGTTGTCAGAAGAAGAAAAAACAAGCGTAGTCGTAAGCATGGCTTTATACATGTTATAGATATTTTGTTGTTTACATTTTTACAGTTAAACTGAAGTCTGAGTAATTTCAATGGGATGAAATTGTTATCAGTTAGATTACAATTGTTTGCTGCAGTAAAATATAGGCTTGGATTGGGATAAAACAGATTGTCGTAGAGGAAAACACACGTATTTTCTTAAATGCCTCTTATGTTAATGACTTCTTTATTAATTGATATAATAATTGCATTGCATATATATCAGTATCAAAGCAGGAACTTGGTCAGTGTCGGTTTTCGTACGTCATATGTCAATGTTTTTCGTTTTTTTTTATATTCTAGCAGTAGAGTTGGTTTATGGCAGGACATTGGTTGTTTTTGTTAATTTCTTTTGAAACTTTTATTGACTTGGGACTATTTACAGCCTGGTATATTGTATAGACTAAACCTTGAACAAAGATTCAAATTATGAGAAAAAAAAATAGACCTACTAATGCTGAACACGAAATATTAAGTGATATTAGAACAAGCATACACATATGCACAAAAAAACACTCTCACTCCTCCAAGAAAAAAAATAATGAAAATAGGTATCAAAGTTAAAAAAGAAATAACACTAAAAAAGATGACATGCTGTAAATTGTAACATTTAGTAAACATATCAAAACTGAAAGCAAATTTGTGTTGTTTGTTTATGACAGAAATTTAAGATAAGAGACAAAAAGTACAAGGTGTTAATTCACCGTATCAGAATCTAATATACTCTGGATAATATTTCAAAAACTTACACCAAAACGTTGTGATTGGTTTAAAACGCCCCAAACAATGGAAATTGAGCCAATGACGTACCGTTATTTTCTTTTTGGTGTACGAATAATGAGATTACCCATAGTCCTTTAGATTCCGAAAAGACGAATTGCCAGACCTCGCTATATAACCACACACGCTGGGATGGATGGATAACAATTGGTACTTAAACTGGACTAATTCTTGGCAATGAACTATTTATCGGTAAGATCTTTGAACACTGCCGATGACCATATAACACGATATTAACATCATTTATAAATATGAAAAGACAGTCATACAAGCACGTGCAATCGTTCGTATAATGGCGATTTTTACAGCGGATGACCTTGAGAGCATTCCGGTGTTATGTTGCCGTAGACATTTCTACCCACGTGACTTGCGTTTTTGACTGATAACCGAACGTATTTCGTATAAATACGCGGATATTATCGAGTGCAAAATAACATTCCTTATCGCTTGTTATAAATTCATTTCTTCAATGAATACTCATGAAAATATTTTTCAAGAACATAAATAAATAATATGAAAATGTTTTGTCGTGAGAAATATATATATATATAAGTAAAAAAATCATTGGTATCTATGCACACGTACCGAAAAATTGTGTTTGCGGATGAATATCTCTTATCGCTTGTTAAATATTAATTTCATCAATACATATTCATTAGCGGGAGAAATATGAATGCCTACTCAAATCAAACCTATTAGAATAAACAGCTGCGCCATGAGCGCATGATACGCCCTCCGCTTTTTCAAAGAATAAAGTTCAATAACTTCTCAATGTCATATCAGAAATTCATGAAAAACAAAAGGGAGGTTATATTAATAGATATAAACCCTTCACCGAAGTTTCAAGAAAACTGCTCAAAGCACTTTAAAGATATTGTCCAAAAACTGGAAAATCACCCCTTTTTATGAATAAAATTCCATCACTCGGAAACGTAAAATCTAAAATTTATAAAAATCGAAAAGGAGCTTACGTCAATAGATATAAACAATTTACCAAAGTTTCATGAAAATCGCTGAAAGCATTTTTGAGTTATTGTCTGAAAACTAGAA